ACACTTGCAAACACACATAAAAACAAAGCTCAAACGTGTTTAAAAATAACACCAAATTTAAGACTTGTTATGCTAAACACAGGATCATTTGATTAAAAAAAAAATCCCCAAAAGTGGGGTCTCCCACTCACGTGACAAGACAATCATCAAGGTCTGTTATGTTAAAAAAAAAAAAAAGTTTAGATCATTGTAATTAAGATTAATGACACACGTGTTTCTTTGTTGTCTTTGAAACAATTCTGTTTCAGATATGCAGTTGGAACTAATTCTGTTTATTTTCATAGTTCTATTACCCAGCTTAGAGACATGATTTTTTAAAAAAAGTAGGTGAAAATTCTACAGGGGAAAAAAAAAGAGTGTGTAGGCAGATGTAAAATCTTGAAACTGTTTTTAAGTTGGAGGACTCTCTTAAGCTTTTTACACTGTGGATGTGACTGATACATGAGGATATAGTTGAAGTTGTATACTTGGGTACCCACATATTAGCACCAGTCATGCTAATAAAGCAAAAATCCTACCAGGAAGTTACAATTTATATGAAGTGAGTGTATTTAACTGGAAAAACAGGTTAGCTGCACCTGCTTGTCTTTGTTGAGCCTTCTGACTGACTTCCTTTGAGTTGTGAGGGCTGATACTCATTCTTATCTGGGAGTAGTTTGGTGGCTTTTTGTGTTTTGTTTTGTTTTTTTAAACTATTCCACTGTAGCATCAGTGCCAGACCTACAGACTCTGAATTTATCGAGAATATCTGACTTCATTTGACAGCTGAGGCTTTTGTGTGTGATCATCTGAGGTCCTTGGTGAATAGCTAACAATTAGGCAGGCTTTAGAAATAGTATTCAAAGTAAAATACTTGGAAGTTTTAAAAACACACATAGTATGCTTGCCTATCTCTTGCATAAATGTAGTTTCTTGCTGGAGCATATAAAGCTTTGTCAGCTGTAGTGCTGAGCCCTTGGTATCCAGCTCACTAATAACAATTTGCTGCCAAATTGAGGAAGTGTGGATTAGATGGTCAGGTAGTGAGATGGACTGTTAACAGGATGGTGGGAAGACGCCAGAGAGTGGTGGTCAGTGGGGCAGAGTCTAGTTGGAGACCTGTGTCTAGTGGAGTCCCTCAAGGGTCAGTACTGGGACCAGTATTATTTAACATATTCATATATTTTCTTGTATATAAAATGTAGAATTTTATCCACTGACCTGGATGAGGGAACAGAGTGAGTGCACTGTCAGCAAGTTTGCTGATGACACAAAGCTGGGAGGAGTGGCTGACATGCCAGAAGGCTGTGCTGCCATCCAGCGAGACCTGGACAGGCTGGAGAGCTGGACAGAGAAAAACTTAATGAAATATAATAAGGGCAAGTGTAGGGTGTTACATCTGGGTAGGAACAACCCCAGGTTCCAGTATAGGTTGGGGAATGATCTGTTAGAGAGCAGTGAAGGGGAAAGGGATCTGGGAGTCCTGGTGGGCAGCAGGATGACCATGAGCCAGCACTGTGCCCTCGTGGCCAGGAAGGCCAATGGCATCCTGGGGTGCATTAGAAGGGGTGTGGTTAGTAGGTCAAGAGAGGTTCTCCTCCCCCTCTACTCTGCCCTGGTGAGGCCACATCTGGAATATTGTGTCCAGTTCTGGGCCCCACAGTTCAAGAAGGACAGGGAACTGCTGGAGAGAGTCCAGCACAGAGCCACCAAGGTGATTAAGGGAGTGGAGCATCTCCCTTATGAGGAAAGGCTGAGGGAGCTGGGTCTCTTTAGCTTGGAGAAGAGGAGACTGAGGGGAGACCTCATTAATGTTTATAAATATGTAAAGGGCGAATGTCAGGAGGATGGAGCCAGGCTCTTCTCAGTGATGCCCAATGATAGGACAAGGGGCGATGGGCACAAGCTGGAGCACAGGAGGTTCCGCTTAAACTTGAGAAGAAACTTTTTCATTGTGAGGGTGACAGAGCACTGGAACAGGCTGCCCAGGGAGGTTGTGGAGTCTCCTTCTCTGGAGACATTCAAGACCCGCCTGGATGCCTCCCTCTGTGATCTCATTTAGGTTCCTGCTCCGGCAGAGGGATTGGACTGGATGATCTTTTGATGTCCCTTCCAATCCCTAATGTTCTGTGATCCTGTGAACTGTCTGTCTTGTTGGAAAGAGCTCAGTGAGTTTGGTTTGTTTTTCCTTCCAGCTGAACTTGAGTCCTTATGTTCATTCCCAGACCAAAGAGTGAACAGGTACCCGAATAGGTTACGCAGAATTTGAGTCCTTAGACTCATGTGCCTATGCTAACAGTTCTCACATGTCCACTGTGGGTTTCTTTAGAGCAATTATTTTCCTGCAGCTGGAAAATGAATAAGCAATATATTTATATGAATAAACAGCTCAACTATCAGGTCAGTGTACAGTGTTCCTGAGTAGTTAAGGTAAATGTCGCTTTTCATCATAGTTACACAGACTGTATAGGCTCCTGCTGGAGATTTCCATATCAATTTATGATGTTCAGCAACTTGCAGAGCCAACTTTTAATTTATGTCTATTATAACTAGTCTTGTTCTGCAGGGAACTTGCCAGTCCTTTACCGTTTGCCTTATTTCTCTATCCATCTTGCTCCTGCCTTTCTTACCTGTTTACTATTAATGGTCACCCTTCTGATTTCCTGTATTTATTATCTTCAGTATTTTCTAGGAAAAAAGATGGCTCTTGTGCCTAAAGTATTATGTAACTGTAAAACTGTGCTGAGTATAACATGTACTAAAGACACTGAATAGTACAGGTACATCTTAATTGTGGAAAATCTATTCTTGGAGCTATCCTGCTGTGACCAACTGAAACAGGGACACTCCTTCAGATGCTTGAGACTCTGAAAATTGAATGTCGTGTTTAGGTGGATGGAAGGTTTATCAAAGAGTAATTCACAGCCCACTTCTAGGATACCACTCCGAACTGACAAGTTTTAAAAGATTTCAGATATTTATATGTGGGGAGAGATGAAGCTTAAGAATTTTTTGCTTGTTTCTTTTAGCTCATGTTAAATACTTCAGTATGGTTTTGGTTTGTTATCTGATTTGTTGCTAGTATACTTCCATAGCCAGGGAAATTTGTCTTGGGGTTTTTTCCAGTTTGGGGTTTTTTGTTGTTTGTTTGTTTTTTTGTTGCTTTGGCTTTTTTTCTCTCCAATGCTTACTTTACCATTTTAGAGGACATGGGACTATGTGATGATCAGAGCTTTAAGCTAGAGAAGAAGCAAAATGGCAAAGAATGTAAATTTTTCTGAAAATTGGACATTCACATGAAAACTACTTTGAAATGGAATACTGTGTCTGGAAAAAATCACTGTCAAGAACTACTTCTCCAATATCAGTGGAGCTATCTATATTTTATTCAGAGCTGTACATACCTAGAATGGATTTTAAAATTTCTTGTTTGATAAGATCCATAAATTGACTATATTACAAGTAATTACTATTTTAACTAAACCTATTTAAAAAAAAAAAAAAAACCAAACGACTGGAAATTTGGGGCTTATTTTATAAAGTAATTTCCGTTAATTAAAAAAAGGGATTTTTTTTTTTTTTTGCTGTCATTGTTCTAAAGCAAATAATTGCGTTCAAGCTCTTGAATCCAGTTTGCTGAATTATTATAGATCTTTCAGCAGATACAGCTTTTTCCAGTGGATGCAGAGGGCACTTTGTTCATTTTACTATAGGCAGCTCAATGATTTTCTTATAATGTTGTATTCAAAGAATATGAACTGTGTTAATGAGTAGGAAAGGAAAATTAAATTAAGATCCCAGGTGCTGAAAGCTCCTAGTTCTAAAATCTCGCTGACTTAGTGATTAGAAATTATTGTTCTTTCATTACAAATACTTTGTTTAATCACCTTTCTGTGTGAGAAGTTTTGATATGCTTTCCTTCAGTCTGTGTAGTGTTCACATTTTTATTCAGACTCTTCAAGAAACTACTTCAAAGTGCTGCTGCATTTTGTGTTTAAAATTAATTCAAATGTTTATCTGAATTAGCTTGATACAAAACCTGAGTGACAGAAATTGATTCCTAGTAATTGTAGTTCATTGTTTTCTAATGTAATGTGTTTATTCAGGATTTTAATATTACCTTGCTTAAATTTATGCATAGGGTATGCTCTTAGTAAAATAAAACTGTTTATAGACCTAAACTGGTGAGTTGTAGTGAAATTCTGTCCTGATTTGAAGAATGCGGGAACCAGTACAAAAGAAAAACCTCTGTTGCTGAATTGATGTATGTACAGCATGTACTAGCACTGAGCTGCTCATTTCTTCTCAACAATGGTCCTTGCCTGTTGGTTGAGCAGCAGTAATGTATTAGCTTTAAACTAAAACTGGCACTTTGAAAGCATACCACTTCAAAATGATTTTCATACTACTGGTTAAATAAATGAAAAGGAGTGAGAATTTTAATTGTTTATATCATAACTTGTGCTCTGCTCGGAAACAGTTTGCTGTGGAAAATGTAAAGATGAGACAAAAGTGCAGTAGATAAGAAGCCAATCTGTATAGTGGCCAACAGTTCGTACTTGGGTCCCAGGTCATCAGTAGCATAATGAAATTTAACTTAAAGCCTTTTTATATACACTATATGTGCATTATGAATGGTTTTCTAGATTCTTTTGAAATTGAAAGCCCACATAGAAATGTATTTAGTCCAACTGTTCTTATAGTTGATATATAAAGCTTGATGTGCAAAAGTATGTTGCTGAATGTATAGGTAAGAATAGCAATGCATATTTGGTGCCTTCTCATAATACAGTGCTGTACAGTGTTTATCTATTTACTTTGACATCCTTTTTGGGGCAGGGAAGACGTGTTACATGTTTATCAGGCTGTAGGTTGTTCCAGTACAAGGAAGATGTGACTTCTGCCTCTATATCAACAACTGTTCGTTATGTATATTGCATTATCAATGTATGCATTTGGTTTGATTAAACTGGTCATCTAAAACCTTTATATTTTTTTTTGTTTGTTTGTTTTTCATTAAGGAGCTGAATGTGGAATAAATGCAGAAGTAGAAAAACAACTTGAAATGGGAAAGAAGTTATTGGCTGCTGGACAGCTGGCAGATGCTTTGTCTCACTTTCATGCAGCTATAGGTATGTATCTCAGGAAAGTGACTCTTGCACTGAAATACTTTTGGGTGAGGTGGATTTTTTCCACACTGTTTGCTTCCTTAAGTATCCTGCTTTCTTGTAAATTGCTTTCTACAAGTCACAGATGTTGGGGCATCTTTGTGCAGCAGTTTTGGAAGGAGCTAGAAGAGATGCAGTAGAATATTTATGCTTTGGTTTTGATAAAAGAAGCTGTTAAATTAACTACATGATATGTGAACACTAAGTTGCTGCTGTTCTGCAAGCTGGCTGTATGGAAGCAGTAATAATTCACTGTGGTAACATATGATGAGGTATTCTCTGTTTTTCATCTCATCAAGATTAGGTTTTATCTTTATTAAGTTTTTTGAAGTATGTTTTTGAAAGTGTCCTGATTTCAGCTTGGATAGAGCTAATTTTCTTCTTAGTAGCTAGAATAGCGCTGTGTTTTAGTTTCAGTATGGGATTTGGTATGAGAAGAATGTTGACAGTATATTGATGTTTTTGATTGTGGCTAAGAAATCAAGGACTTTCCAACTTCCCACGTTTTGCTAGTCTGCAGATGCAGAAGACAACTGAGGGGAACACAGCAAGATTAACGGATGCAAATTGGCATTTGGATATGCCAGTGGGATATTCCATGTCGTATAACGTCATGTTCAGTATATAAAAGCTTTGCCTCTTCTGCAATCAGGGGTTTGGGATTTTCTCCCCTCTGGGGTCACTATCTAGGAACAGGCTGGGCATTGGTCTACAGGTGGTGAGCAACTGCACTGTGCATCAGCCATTTGTATGTTCCTTTTTTACTGTTATTACCATTATTATTGTAATTATTATTTTAAATTCTTATTTCAAGTATTTTTTTATCTCAACCTATGAGTTTTCTCACTTTTACTCTTTTGATCCTCTCCCCCATTTCCTGGGCTGGGGAGGGTGAGCTAGTGCCTGCATGGTGTTAGGCTGCTGGATGGGTTAAAACCACAATAGAAAGTTTGAGTTTGTCCATGCTTTCTTCTCTCGAACACTGTAAAAAACCTCAACATTTAAAATAGTATCATTTAAAAAAAAATAAAAATCTTTGAGTGGTGCCTCGGTGAAACTGATGCTCCAAGTTTGAGATACTGAACTGATAGTGAAGACTATATTAACTGCCCCTGTCTTATACTCAACTAGTGAGTGAGTTATTGTTTTGGTGTTCTGCATTTGCAACAAACTGAGTTAAATGTTTGCTTCTATAACTTTTAAAGCAACTTTTGTTAAAATCCTTGAATTGAAACATAAAGACAGACAGCACGAGTAAAGAGTAGTGTCTGTTAACACAACAATTTCTCAATTGCTTGTGTTTTTTTAATTTATTTCTAAGTGGTTGGGCTTTGTTGTAATGTGCACAAGTGCATAATTTTCTCTGTGAGAAGAATAATACCAAGATCTTACACAGTAATGAGTCATACTGTTGAGACTTTTCTATTTATGCCTAGGTCTAATAGTAGTATGGAAATGAAATATTTGCTGGTTCTGAGCTATTAATATTTTCTGTGAGTTCTGCAAGATCAACTTCCCTTATATAAAGGGAGTGGAGGGGGGAACTTCCTTTTTGCCTGTGCTGTGGAAGCTCGTCACTCCACCAAGAGGCTATCTGTTACTCCCTTTGCCTTGTGTGTCGCTGCCAAAGCATTCCTGTGAGATCTGAGCAGAGTTAGTGTTAGTGTGCTTTATTCCTTTATTATTGGCTGGCAAGCTTTCACCTGGATTTGGTGAAAGGGCCAGTCCAGTCTGTGGCCATGCAGATGCTGGCGCTGGTGCTCAGGCAGCAGTGGTGTGAGGTGAGATGAGCAGTGCGGTGCCTGCCTGGGGTGAAACCCTCTGCTTTCCCAGCAGTGCTCGAGCAGCTGGTAGAACCGCAGTGTGACTACCTATGTTGTGACCTTGATGGGATTCTTACTTGGATGTTGATTTGAGCCTGATTGTCTAATCTTTCATCAGACTTCTTGGTATTTTGCATTTTTAAAAAAACTTTACGCACAATTTGCCTGCTATGTTTGTAGAGGGGAGAATAAATTTCTGTAATCCTTTTTTGCCTGTACTGCATCATTGTGATTAGACTGAGGTAAAGTAGATCTTTTGTCTTGCCTCAGCCAGCCTATTTTTCTTTTTTTTGGAAGCATCTAAAATAAAACTATTGTCCCATTTTCTCTCTTCAGTTAAATTTTCAGCTCTTTCAAATTGATGGCTTATGACTTCTCTCTGGGTAAATGTAAATTGCTGTTCACTACTGTTACTGGTGAGCTGAGGCAAAACCATATTCTGACTTGTCAGAAAGATCATCATCTGGTGTTGGAACATGCTTTCTGGGTTAGTTCTTTCCTATCTTTCATCCTTTGTGTATTAATACAAGTTCAGCTATTGATTTGTGCCTACTCTACACATTTAGTTGTACACAGTAGGACTTAATACTTGCTTTTTTTTAAAGGTAGTAACATTTGAATTTACTTGATTTCCATGATGCTGGCATACTAGCATGAGAGTTACTAAATTTCAGTGCTGAATGTTAGCATTTCTACAGCCAGTACATTGTAGAGGAAGAGTGCAGATACCTTTTCCGGTGAGAACTGAACTAGTGTTTCGGTAATGGCGGTGGCTAGCTATGAAGCTGGGTTAGCAACCCTAAAATTTCTGGCAATACTATTTGTTCCATTTATTTTCAAGTTCAACTTTAACCTCAAATGAGGTGAGGAAGAGAAATACTTGGTTTATTCCCCAGATATGGATATTCTCGTCTACAATTTCTGGATAGGTGTTTGTGGGATTTTTTTTTTTTTTAATAGCACAGCAAAATGTTTACTGTCTTCTATTGCATGTGGTTGTTTGGGTGGTCTAAGTTACCTTTCCTGAGAGCCCACAGTAACTGTCATCTGTTTCTTTGAAATGCTGCATAGAGAAGAATATTTAGAAAATTCTTGCTGTTTTCAGAGACTGATGTTTGTCCCTTATAAGGATGTATATATGTGCTAGCCTATAGAGTGTTAAAATTGCTGGATCTTGGAAGATTGACCAGCAGACAACATGCAATGTGTGGGTCCTGAATATAACCTTCAGGTTTTGATAATGTATGTGCATTTCTTTGCTGTTGTGAGGGGGTGTTGGTGCCCACTTCAACATTAAAGAAAGAAGTTGCTACTCTTTCAATGGATGGTGTAAAGGATTTATGCATTTCTGACAACATTGGACTAACATATTGGCCATTTTGGGATTATTTGCTTGCACCTGATATGGGGAACAGGGGCTAGGATGGAGAATGATGAATTAACATGCTTTCAAATGTGGGCCTGCAGTTGGAGATAAAGGATTAGTATGTAGTGGGTGTTTTCCTGTACAAAGCTGAAAAACATGTACATATTTCAACTTCAGTACTCTTTAATTATTTGGCATTTACTGTGTTCTGTAATCTTGATTGTTAAATAATCAAACTGCATGGAAAATATTGCTTGGATAATGTTACAAATGTTATGTTTTATTGATAAATACAGTTTTTTTCAGTGGCTTAAAACTTGAGTAATATATTTTTAGTCATTACAGTTTCACTGTACCCAAAGTTTCAGTTGCTTTGAAATAGTATTCTGATTACTGTTTGTTCACTTGCAGATGGAGACTCTGATAACTACATTGCTTATTACAGAAGAGCCACAGTGTACTTAGCCATGGGCAAATCTAAAGCAGCAATTCGTGATTTAAGTAAAGTGGTTGAATTAAAGCAGGACTTCACATCAGTAAGTATGACTGGAATTGAAAGTTGTTCAAGCGTAAAAAAAAAAACCTGCTTCAAAGAAGTTTGGGTTTTTCAGATTTTGCTAAACAGAAATAGAAAATACATTATCACTCAGAAGGCTTTAAATAGGATAAAATAATAGCAATGGTGTATGTGTTTGAATTTGCAACTGTGCTGAGTACAGTCTATCCAGTTATTCTGACCACTAATAGTAGTTTTATTAAGCTCATGTTCCTCATGAGTTTGTGCTAAACACTTTCCTTCTCTGACACATGGTTATTCTCCTCTCAGTCACCCAGGCTCTGCCCTCTGAGAGCAAGGGGGGGAAGAGGGTGCACAGATGCCTCTGTTTTTCTTCTGTCTTAATCAGCATTTGATTTGAGGCACCTCTTTGCCACAGGAACTGTCCTAATCTCACTGCTGTCCTATGGGACTGTTACAAGTTCTGATTTGCTTACCCCTTGCTCACTTCTGCTTACTGTATGTGGAGAGTGACGCTGGAGTCCTCTCCCTCTGATCCTCTCGTCTCCCTTTTCCATGGACAGTGGCATGTCCTGCGTAGCTTACAGTGGAGGAGCAAACATTAAATTCATTGTTGTATAGAATCATGGAATCCTAGAATCGCTTGGTTGGAAAAGACCTTTGAGATCATGAAGTCCAACTGTACCTGTCCACTACTAAACCATATCTCTGAGCACCCCATCTAGCTGTCTTTTAAACACCTCCAGGGATGGTATGAAAATATTCTTGTCATAAATCAAAAACTTCTAAATCTTTAACTTGTCTTTTTATATAGCTTCTATTGTTCTGAAAGTTTAGTGAAATAATTAAATGTGAGGATTGTTTATTATTTCTGCTAATTTCTAAAAATCTATAAGCAGTTATAATCATGAGAGTGATGTAAGGTAAACATTTATTATGCATAAACATTTTATGCAACTCTTCAAATGAGTTCTTCTCACGAGTTGCAGCTTCTCATAAAAAAAACTGTGGCTGACTTTTTTTGTCCCACAGTTCTGGTGCAAAGTGATCCTTTACCATCAAAGATGCTTCATAAGAACATTGTCAAATTGAGAAGACAAAGAATGGGTGTTGTGATCTCTGTTTCAGCTTGTTAGCTGTAGTGAAATGAATCTGTTTCCTTTTGTTGCTAAAGGAAACTGAAGCTTATTTTCATACTTTGCTGAATTCCAATTTGTAAATCAAAAGAAATTATCTTATGTTTCATTTCAGGCAAGATTACAGAGAGGGCATTTACTACTCAAGCAAGGAAAATTTGATGAAGCAGAGGATGACTTTAAAAATGTGGTAAGTTGAACTACGTCAGTGCTTTTTAAGATTGGATTCTGAGCCAAGGTCTTGTCTCAACTCTGGTGCTGTAGAGCATATGTGTATGTATACCTGAGTCTGTCTTTCCTGTTCTGTAGAGGTATTGTAGCTCAGCTACCTTGTATTAATGAATGACTGATAAAGTTCCAGCGAAGTGATGAAGATGGAATCAGAAGATGTTGTATGGAGTAGCACAGCACTTCAAAAAGTCTCCTTTTTTTTTTTTTTTTTTTTTTTTGGATGTGTGCCTGGCACTTCATGATCTCTGCTTGATGATGCCTGTTCTAGGAGCAGTCTTCATTCAGAAAGAAAGGATAAATGACATGGGACTCAAAGTATGTAATTGAACTCACCCTGCTTTACATCACTATATTCAGGTCACCCTAGGAAATCACTCAGGGCCTTGTGGATCAACTTTGAAGGTTTCTGTCTCTTTTCACTGATTGCAGAAGGATCCTGGGGTCTTAATTTAGTTACTGGGCTGTTAAAATCAATGAATTTCAGTGGCATGCATCTGTGTGTCTTCTCATCTGCGGAGGGGTTCTCCATCTTTGTGTGTGTGTTGGCAATCCTTTCTCTCCATTGTCAGGAAGTACCCAGAGTTTCCATACAAACACAGTTGGATATTACCCAACTAAAACTTACTTGGGTCATCCTTTCTTACAATGGGTGTTTTGTGTGTTTCGACCTCACACTGTAAAAATAAACTGATCTAACCCCAGAACAAAATTCTTCAGAGAATATGTGTAACTCTGTTCCCTTTCTGTTGCACAAAATTTCTGTAAGCATAAGATTAATTCTTATTCTTGCTTACTCTTCAAGAGTTGCTAATTTGAACAGCTTTCATGTCCCTTATGCCAAAATAAACAGAATTTACAAGTGTAACTGATGCTGTCTTGTTGGCTTTCTTTGAAGAGTGTGAGGGAGAAAGCAGTTCTGCATTGCAGATTACAGCTGTTCAGTGGAAATCTCACTAGCGAGTATGTATGACAAAACCAGAGCAGTTACACTATGTGCTCTGCAGGGCACTTGGGAGCAATTGCTACAAACAAAATGCACTTTGCTTGTAGCAAAACTGCAGTAGCTTATTCTGAAATTCATTTGGCAGTGGCTCCTCTGGCAGCTGCTCAGAAACCTTCCTCAGTAGGTTTCTTAGGAGTGTGTGATCTGCAGTTGCACGTCTGATTGAAGTGCAACCCTGCTGTTTGCAAATGTGGGGGAATGTCGTTCAGCTCTGATTCACTGAGGACATAGTTGCTGCAATAGCAATTAGGTGATGTCAGTGTTGATTCAGAGTTTGTGTATGCATCTCTCTGCAGTTACTTTTTCTTGGAGTATTGCTTAATACTGCATATGGAAATGCTTTTCCAGTCAACTGTCAAGTACCTTGCCTTTTTTACAAACCAACTGCAAAAATTTAGGTTGCTGCCTTTGGTCAGTCAAGTAACTCCAGTCTTCAGTCAAGTTTTAAATCTGAAGTAGAAAAGAATTTCTTCTCAGAAGCTGACTTATAGAGATACCATATTGATTGGTCCTAAATCTTACTTCCAGTTTCCTTGATTCTGTGAACGATATCGCTTATATATGTAGAGAATATGACAGGCAGGCTCTTTTGAAGAGCACCATTTTCAGTTAAGTACAGTATATTCAAGCAAAATAAACCAATATTAAAGTAATCCTTTATAATAGGTTAATTTATTCATATGGGGGAGAGGATTAAGTTATCCTACATACCATGACTCTTAAGTAGAATACGTATATATTTGAGAGCTTTTTCTTGTTTTCTTCTAAATCTTTCAGATAGTCAGTCTGATTATTCTGCCAGTTCTCTGCATGTTTACAATACCTAGTTTACTCTGGCAGTATGCTTGCATCTGAATAAGAAATTGCATTTAATCTCGAGATGTCACAATACAATGAAATGTATTAGCATCCTGTGTGTGTTTGGCATTTTTTTGTATATGAGACGATGGGAGAAAAGGAGGAAGGTTGTTAGGGGTTGAATATCTTTCCAAATGATTTCAAGATTTTTACAGCCAGACTGTGTCTTTGCTCCCAGGAGTGACAGGGCAAAGGTAAATAGCAGCCACTAGGAAGCTTTGACTCATACTGGAAGTTACTTGTCAAGAAGCCAGGAGGAATAAGTTATAACTTGAATTGAAAGTTCCTTCTACTACTAGGGCAGAAACAGCCCAAAGAAATGCCAGTGGGGTCTGAATTGCTTTTAGGCTAGAATGTAGTTATGGACTTGGATATCTAAAATTGTGTGTTTTGCGTGTGAACATAGTATGGAATTTATGTTTCAGCTCTTTAGCTGAGTGAAAAATGTAGGTCAGGATATGAGCAGCCCTCTAGCATCTTCACTTTGGTGGCTGGATGTTAGCTGACTAGAATGCTCTCATTCCGGGTCAGCATGTAGCACATCAGCAAACTCTGGTGTCCAAATCTGGAGCTAAATCTGTGAGAAAAACTTTGTCCATCCTGCATTAATAGTGCATAGGCTCTAAATCTGCAGTCACTGTAAGTCAGAAGCAGCCTGGTCATATGTTTGAGTCTTCAGAAGTTGAGTATCATGAAAAGATGGAATGGAAATGCTGTATTTAAAAAACGAAACAAACCTCCACCCCATCCATCCTTCTTCACTGAAATGGAAGTCTTAATTTGAAGAATAATAATCCACTTTCTTTACTGTGCAAGGTTTCCAGACATTATCTAGAATAAGTGGTCATATGCTTACAGAAATGAATTGTGGGATGTCAGGTATGAGAAATTTTACCTTCAGTGTTAAGTTTTTTTCCTGAGGAAAATAGTTGTGTAGATCAGATGGGCCTTCTTTGAAGTAGGTTGTATGCCCTTGAATGATAATAGATGTGTTATCTCCTGTGTTATTTCACATAGGAGATTGTTTGAGTCAGGTGTTGACTTGAAGGGAGTAGATCAGATTTTAAAACATTCCCCACTTTTTAGTTGGAGAAATCGGGTCAGAGCGTGGAAACTAAGGAGAGTAACTTTACTGGGACTACTCAAGGACAAAAACCAGGACAGACATGTAGGAATGAGATGGTTTGTAGTTCCCTGTATGAAGCTTGCATTAGGTGTCAGTGTCACAAGTGTTGCTTTCTGTGCCTACCAGAACTGCAAGGTGACTGATGTAATGAGCTGCCTGTAAAATGCAGTTTTTTCCTAGTATACTCCAGAAGTCTGTCAAATGCCAGTGGAGACTCTGAAAAGCTTTTTTTTCTTCCCATCCCTCCTCCCCTCTCTCTTAGAGTCGTGTTCCTTGAAAGGGATCTCAGCAGTTTAGGAGATGCAGTCATTTTTGAGGGAGAGAAAGAGTAAGAAAAATTCAGCCCCCCTAAACAGGGAGGAGGACAACAGGTAAACTTTCCCAGCTTGTAATAGTAGCTCTTTTGTGTAGAGCTTAAAAGAATCATTGAAACTATTATTTACATATAATAGTAAAACTATCCTTTAGCATATACTTGTGTAAAGAAAAAAAGGGTTCATACCCTTAAATTCTTTCTACACATTTTCATAGAGCTTTCTGAGCTCCTTAAACCTATAAGCTAAATGCTGTATGATTCCCAGGCAGAGCAGTTTCTCTCTGTATAACAGTATATAGCATTCCTATATACTGTTTGGACATTTCTGCCCACTGTGGAACATTGGTACTGGCTGTCTTATGAGGCAGTGCCAGTGTGAGAGCAGGCAGTGGGAATGCCTGACTGGAAAGGGTGGGAGTATTCCTGTCAGGATGGCCTTCATGCCTTATTTTTAGATTGCCTTTTTTTTTTTTTCCTACTTTGTACTTCCCTGTTGGCTGAAATTCATCACAAGGTTTGGATAGAGGGTGTGATTTAGACTTATGCCTTGACATGTTAAACAGTACTACATTTCTAGAAACTTCTCCTTTTGGCCAACAGATGCACCAAGCTGATGAAGTTCCTTGAAGTTCCTTCCCCCTTCTCCCCCCCACCCCCCCCCTCTACTCCCCCTGTCTAGCAATACAGAATCACAGCTCATAAATCTTTAGAAGCTCTTTAGCCTTTTCCTTTGCAACTCAGCTACTCATTTGGAAATCTAAGACCTAGAGGGTAATAAAACTTTCAGCAGGTGTCAGCAGAGGGGTCTAATTCTTGTGTTCAGAGTGCCAAGAACGGAACAGGGATTAAGCAGAAGTCCTTAGGTGATTTTTAGAAAGTCAGCACTCATAGTATATGAATAGTATTTATTTCTCTCCCCAACTTTGAGTGTTCATATGCTTTAATGTCAAGTTCCTTCCGTTTTGTTTAGTAGTTTCTGAATAATAGAAGTCAACAGGAGAGATCTGTAGGCACATCAACACTAATATCTGAGGCCTCAGTCCATGAAAGCCTTGGAATATTTATTTTATCTTTAAGCATGTGATTTTTAGTGAAAATAAAGGGAATATTTGTATACTTTGGTTGATGGAAAACCTTCTGAAAAGGTGACAAAAGCAGTGCAAGTCCTGGCAGTGGCAGCCCCTTGTATATGCCTTGTAATCCTGTCTTTGACCCTGCTTGTGTCCTAGAGAAAATGGCAAGTGTTTCAGTTGCTGGTTTCTCTAGAAGGCACAGAAATAGAACAGAAATTCTGCCTAGTCTATTGGGAAGTGTGCAAAGGACCAAGTTGACATATTTCTTTTAAATTCTGTTAATTTTTTTAGACTGATTGTAATGTTCACAGTTGCAGTTTGTTGCAGTAAATACTGTAAGCTGAGGTGTCCTAATTATGCAATTCTGTTTCCCTTGGAAGCACTTAAAAGCTGAAGGTTCTGCTCCCAGCTCCACTAGATGTCAGCCCAGACTGAGCGACTGAGCCCTGTACATCTGCAAATTCTGGTTTTCTCATCTAGGGGCGCCTTTGGCTGTTGAAAATATACTGAACAATAGTTTTCCATGAGTGGTTTCCATGATGTGTAATAATGCTATTTTGGATGTAGGTGGAGACCAGTTTACAGCACTGTAAGTTAACCTGATTTGAGTAAGTTACTAGACACACTTGGGTTGGGTATTTGAAGCTCTCTTAACCAGCTCAAAGTAACATTAGGTTGTTTCCAAATACATTCCTCTCTGGTACTGTGATCATCTGTAGCTTCCTGGGTAAAGAGTAGAAGGTATTTAAATTTCCTTACTTTTTTCCATCTGTCTAACATCATAGTTGTGTTTGCCAATATATTGTTCTGCCAATGCAGAGCTTTCTGTGCAGTGTTCTTGAGTGCATGGGTGTCTTGAATTTAGATAACACAAACCATAGAGGTTCCTTCAGTTCCCCTCAGAATGTTTTTCACAAGCCTAATCAATTTCTCTTCATTGTCTGTGTTTACAAGTGTGGAAAACAAGAAAATAAAACAGCTTTAGAATGTGTAGATGTATGCCTGTGTTAGTGGCAGGAGGCCACTGTAAGTAAGGTTTAGAAGCAGTGTCTATATGACATTTTGGGGTTTTTAACAATATTTTGGTTTTTACACAGTAGAATATGAGAGTCTTTCAAGTTGGTGGTGTCTGTTTGTAATACATACTAAGATATTCAAATGCTACAGATGAATTGCTTGTATATCTTTATTCTGTACTCTTTGAGAGTATGGGGTTCTGAGTATTTTTTTTTTTTCTTAAGGTAGCTGAAAGTGTTCTTCATTAGGATTTCTGTTCTAAATGCCCAACCTTTTCCTGTATTGTTAATGGGCCATTGCAGAGAAAGATGTAGGACTATGTAGCTGGAAAGCAGGACAGATCATGGTAAGCCATTAAATTAGCTTAGCTGTGTTTTGTAACTCTTCCCTATACTTCTGAAAAAAGATCGTGAAGCAAAAAGTCCTTACTAAACTTAGGAGGCAGGAGGCACTTGCTCCATATTAATGATTTTCCATTCTGTCTCTTGTAAGTGTTCTGTGTTTGGGAATCCTTTTTTTAGAACAGTAACAGATAATATTGTAAGGCTTTGTTAAATAAAAAGCATATTGCTAATCCAGAAAGCGTAATTGTAAGATACATGTAGGTGCAACACACTGAAATGTGTTGGTTAATTCAGACTGCCATGTGGCATCTTCGGGATAGCAGCACTGAACACAAAATGCAGATGGATCCTGTGTAGTTTAACATTGGTCTTGCTTCAGTGTTTTGTCACTGCTGATATACCAGTTTGCTGTATTGATAGCCTCTTATTAACAATATTTTTCTGAAGTAGTGCTGCATTGTAATTTTCAGGTAGCCTTGTGTGTATGGTTAGAAAGGTTATCTTGGTGAACTTGTGAATTACAGTGAAGTGTGGCAGGTTTGGAGAGGGAATTATGTTGCTTCTTGAAAACCAGCGTGAATTGTTTAGCTTCTGAAAATGCTTTTCCTATCAGAAAACTTTTAAATACTTAATGTTTGACTGCAAATGCAAGACAGCCATTCTAAAGCTGCCTGCTTTGAATAGAAATGATATAAACACTTTCTAGATGCCAAAAAGAAGATGCTGGGTTTCACAAAGTGGAATGCTAATACCTTTTCCCACTGTCTGGGGTGCAGCAACGTAATATTGTGAAGTTTTGAGTTAAGTCCTTGAGATAAAGTTCTGGAAGAAGCCAACTTCCTTGCCAAGAGTAGTGGGGAGAAAAATAGATTACACATGCAAATGCTTTTAAGGCTAGACTTGATAAATTGAGTGGGGATGACTTTGTTCCCTTTGATCTTACTCACTTGAGAGGGGAAAAAGTGGGGTTTTGCTTACTCTAGGGTGTGTTTCTCCCCTGCACTGAGATTAGGCTACAAAAGAAAGCAGCACCTACAGTAGTAAATCTGCGATGGAGAATTACACAGTAACAAAGCCATTGCTATATACTGGCCTTTTCTGTGAAGGAATTAGGTGCAGGTTTTTGGGGGGAGGGCATTGGTAGTGAATGCAAGCTGCTGTAACAGAGAGCCAGCTCTTGTTGCTGCAGATTAAATTGCAACTAATTTAGCGTTTTAATTCAAATGTAGTAAACATCAAAGACAGCAAAGGATACTGTGCTGAGATGATCACCAGTAGCAGTGTGTTTGTCCAGCAGATTGGGGCTGATCTTACCTTTTGACTTTGTGCTTTGAGGCCATTGAGGAAGCATGTAGAGAAGTGTTAGGTTTGCCTTAGACCTGTATTAAATTCAACTGAAGGGTTTTTTAATACTTTGCTCCTTTCTTGGAAATCTAGCAAACTGTGCAAGCAGTTGTTCTGACTTGTCACTCCCAAGTTTACTGCTCCACAGGAAAAGGAGGAGTAATTGAAATGTGATTTGTTATTGGTAGTGATGTGACAGTCCTCTGATCACAGGGCAAAAAGAAAGAAAAAAAAATTGGGAAGTGAACCAAAATGAATGTATCTAACAACTGTATCACATTTCCAGCTTTCTTCTAAGAGCTGAATGAACAGTCTTCTTGCTTTGGTTAATATTACTGATTAAAACCTCATGGCAATACACTAATTACTTACTAGGAACTTCTCAGTGTATCTTTTCATCATACTGTAGCACACAAACACTTGATGGCTTCAGTTTGTATGATAGCTTGAGTACGTTCCCTTTCTTTGTTAGCTGAATGGTTTGTACTATCTAAAATTATCTAGGATGTTTCACTCAAATGGTCTTTATTACTGTTGGACTTGTCTGTATAATTGTAACACTGCTTTTCATATTCCACTGTCATTTTGCTCCAAATAAATTACAAGAAACATACTATATGGCTAAGGAGTGCAGTGTTAACATGAGATAAGTTTAAATGGAAGCATAAAGCAAAAGCTCTTTATTTTCAAGAGAGGAAAATGCTGAGAAATTGAGGGAGAAAATTAAGGAAGTCAGCTGGAACTGAAGAGTTCAGAACTTCAGAGGGTTTTTAGTCTTGTAACTTTTAGAATTACAGGTGCAGAAATTTGTCTTTACTACAAGCTCCAGATTTGGGGGAGAAAAAGGATGCACATTATCAGGGGTTTATAGACAGGGACTGGACTCTCTTCTAACCAGAAGAAAAGCTTTGTGAGATGTATATTAGGAATTAGCCTACAAAGAAGAAAACTTTGATCACATTCCTCTCCTCTTGCTGAAAGACAGTGTAGGGGATAAAGGAGAATTTACAGGTCTAAGAACAACTTCGTTTTTTACCACAGTAAAATGAAACAGCTGCAGGAGGTTCAAAAAGACTTTAAATGAACCATCTAAGACAGAGGTGGGACCTGTGCATGCTTTTGATGCTGCATTTAGGCTTTTTCCTTTCATATACTTAAGTGTTAGAACCAGAGGAAATCTTGCTAAAGGGGTGAAGGAGTTCTGAGGGCTGATGTTGTTGAATTACATTAGAGACTTAAGCACAGAATGTGTTTGAAGAACTTACTGATGAGAAAAAGGGAAGGGACTCCTTTGAGATAAAGGAGAGAAAAGGTACTGGATGACTTTGAGGACTCAGTAATTTTAGTCAGCATTTGGTGTATAAAATGCAAGGTATTGTAAGGTTTTTTGTTTGTTTGTTTGTTTGTTTTGGTATTTAGTCAGCGTTTGGTGTATAAAATGCAAGGTATTGTAAGTTTTGATTTTTATTTTTTTTTAACTTTTTTTTTATTTTTTTAAAGCAAGCAAACAAACAAAAAAAGCCAGGCCTGCTGATCTGTCCCTTTTAAAACTTTGGAAGTCATTCTCATCAGCAACAAGTGTGTAGCCAGTGACTTATTCAAACTACACTTTATTTTACAAATGACTCCCTGGCTTTGCAGGGGAGTGACTGAGGTTCTTCCTGGCCAATATTTGTCTTCCTAGGTGGTAGTAGAGTTGCCTGTGAGAGATTTGGGGTTTTTTCTTTTGAAAATAAAAAGCTACCCTAAACAAATGAAGGCAATTGCAATGTAACCCCTTCTATATGCTGCGAGAGAGAGGTTTGAGAGAGTCCTTATAAACAAAAACTTTTTAAAAAACTAGATATGAAGCAAAGTGTGTGAATTCCCAGCTTATCCCAGTTGAGCCTTTCCCCCATTTTAACTTGCTACTATAGCTGTTCTTTCTGGGGGAAAAATATAAGAAACACATCTTTACAGTAGTACTATCTGTGATGAGTTGAGTTTTTCTGTCCTGAATTTATAAATAAGTATTTTGCTTGAAGTGAGATACGTGATTGTGCAAAGTGGATTTAAGTTCTACTCATGCTGGGGAATCCAGTGTTTAATAGCTGTCTGCAGAGAGCTGAATTAACTAGGCTACAATTGAGAGGTCCATGACTTCAAGAGGATAACAGGGGGACAATGGCTGCTGTGTACAATGTGTCCAATGGTAAATGATCAAGCATGGTGAGGGGAGGGATTAGATTTCTCTGACTTCTGACAACTCATGTTGAAGCTAAACATGTCTGTCTTTTTCTGAAGTTCGGAGTTGGAAACATTTCCAGTGGAATGTTAAAACTAATTTTGCTTTATTTGCAGCTTTAGTCAGTTCTCCATGATATGATTAATAATGGGATAAAAAGAGATCCTTGAACAAGCATTTCAGTCTCTCTTCTTGATAATGTTTGCAGCTCAAATCCAATCCCAGCAATAATGAGGAGAAAGAAGCCCAGACTCAGCTGATGAAATCTGATGAGCTACAGCGCCTGCATTCACAAGCACTGTCTGCATACCAGCAAGAGGATTACGAAGCTGCTATTTCTCTTCTTGATGAAATTTTGGCAGTAAGTGTTAAGTGAAATGGTACTGCAAAAGGGAAGTAAGAACTCCTGTCTGACATCTCTGTAGTTTTGTTTAATAACTTCTTCACTGATGTGAAAACACTTGGTATAATTGGCTCAGTTTTGCTGAGCGCCCTGAGCCAATAATGCAGTTGGAGAGTGGATAATGCTGAGCGCAAGCTGCAAAAAAGTCTAAATAATAGATTGTAGTTAGGGTTAAAGACACAACTTCAGCCAGACTTCTGTTGTGTGTAACTTTCTTGATTATACTTTCCTTTTTTCCACAGTTGAATGTTCTTGGAAAATGTGTGGAAAAAAGTTGTTCTCAAACCAATTAAGTTTTGCCAAATATAGGAGATGTAGGGGTTTTTTAATCTAGATTTTTTTGTTGTTGTTGTTGTTGCCTGTGTGCAGGCAATTTGTATATGCTTAATAAAAGCTTGGTAAATGGTAGATCTTCACTATGAAGTAGGTAGTTTCTTGTCTTGGGAAAATGAAGTAACAAAAGATTAAAAAGAAATTGCAGAAAGTTAAAAATGTGTGTAGGTATTTTCAAGTTGTTCCGTAGATACTTATATTTGTTGAATCTTAATCAGTATATGTAGTCTGATCGTATGGGTGTAAATAACTCGATCATTTGTGGGCATTTTGGGTGTCATATAGAAATATATATTAAGACAGTTAACTGCTGTGACTCTTAACATAGAAATTAACCCTGTTGACTTGGAATTTACAACATTCTAGCTTTTGGTGAAGAAACTGCCAAGTGTGGGAGTTTGTTTATGGGGAGAGAATGTGGAAAAGGAGAAGAGCCTCATTCTCTAAAATTATGGTTTACAAACAAATTATAAGACCCAGAATAAATTCTCTAAAATGAACTGTGATAGGCAGTCCCTTTTAAATAGTTATTCTTGCCATACTGGGACACTGTTGCTTCTGTATTTATCTTTAAAATCCACGAGCTGAGGTCAAATCTTGCATAGCTGAATCTTATACACAGGCTTCTTTCCGGAGGACAACTGACAGCTTAGTCCTTGCTGTTCATTACTCCTGTTCTTTTGGGGAGGATATAATAATTTACGATTCTGATATCCTTCCCTGGAGGCTCAACAGACTGTCCTAGTTTAAGCAGTGCCAGTAGATTTAATTCATCTCCCTGCATGAGCTCATTGAATCACTTACAAATTTTTCAGGCATTGGTTTTCTCTTTGGGCAGGTGCATCACAGCATCCACCAGGAAGCAGAGATGCTAATTTCATGTGATCTCTGTGCAGCTTGAACCTTATGCTCTTGCAGTTGGCAAAGTGAAATTAAATGGGATTTTTTTTTTCTTTTGGGTTGGAAAAGTGAAGTGTTATGGACCAAAAACAAGCTTTAATTTTGGTTTCTCAAGGTTTGTGTTTGGGATGCAGAGCTACGGGAACTTCGAGCTGAGTGTTACATAAAGGAAGGGGAACCAAGCAAAGCCATTAGTGACTTGAAGGCTGCTGCCAAATTAAAGAATGATAACACTGAAGCCTTCTATAAAATCAGCAGAATATATTACCAGCTGGGGGACCATGAACTATCACTCAGGTAACTTTACTGTTTGCTGTAATCATCATAACTGAGACAGAAAATGGGATGATACAGGTCATGATAAACTGAAATATCTATGTTGTCTGGATTGTGGATAGAATAGCAACTCTGCTCTGAATCTGATAAAGGAAGCTCCTTCCCAGAAGCTAAGAACTGGCAGTGAAGACTTTCTTGGCAGACCAGCCACTGATGGTTCCTAGCATCTTGCTTACTTAAGTAGAAGCTATAGTGCAGGTCCGTCAGAGTTCTTACATTCACTGTCTTTATTGTAGTTCTCCACCCTAGAAAAAAGCGCTTCTGTAAACTTGCTTTTGTGGAACCTTTTTTTAACCTTGAACCTTCATTCAAGTTAAGCTTACAATGCAAACAAGAAAAAGTATACATTAAATGTTAGGTCTGGATTTTTATTTTCAAGTGTGGGAAACAAAAGGTTAGAAGCTTGAGAATAAACTAAAAGCATGGGAGCAGCCAAGTATGAGGAGCTGGGGTTCCAGAGCTGTCAGTCTCCATTCTGGCAGACAGTGTCCAGTATTTTGATGACTTGATAACTTCCTACCCTTTTATTCATATTCAGTTAAGTTTAAGGTGCTATTTCCATACATGCCTAGTCAGTCAGTTGTGCAGATAACTACCCTTGCCCAATCTGGACTCTTAACGTCACACTCTGTGCTCAGCTGCACAGGTGGTGTAATCCTTTTTGCACACAAGTGGTTTCTGTGCAGCTCATCATCTCGTATTTGCTACGTTCACCTCCAGACTCCTTCTGCAACAGATTATGCTCAGTAAGAGGTAAAAGGAACTGAAAAAGCCAGAGTTTCTTTTCTTGACAGTGTATGTCAAAGGCTGGTGGATGGAAACTGCATGTGATTATAACTGCAAAAATTCATTTTATAGTTGGGCAAAAGTAAATGCCAAATAACTAATTGTTTTGCATTAGGGATCCCCTTTCTAGAGTGTACTTAATCTCTGGAGGTCATAAGTCACTTCTGTGGCGACTTTTGGTAGCTGACCATCACTTAGCTCAGTGATTTCGAGAATAACTGGTATTTTTTTTTTCTCTGAAATCCATACATGGACTTCCTCTGTTAATTAATAACCAAATCTCAAGATTTTTATAAGTATAATTAGAGAGCTGTTGAAGAACAGAATGGTGTCAGAATGAAGGTATAATCTTCTCTTATCTTCTTTATTCTTCTCTCATTATCTCTTTTTTTTTTTTTTTTTTTTCCATAAGATTTACTAAGAAAGAGTTCTATATCTCTTGGACTTGCTGGGTGATTAATCTTGTCCTTCCCTTAGTTTCTTCCTCTTACCTTTACAGGCTTAATGACTTTCAAAGAATAGATATTTTTGTCTGTGCTTAGGAACAAAAGAAGATTTTGTAATCTCTTCCTGGAAATAACACCTTGGTTGTATTATGATGACTCCTTATGATTAAAAAAAAATGGTATTCCTTCATTTGATTGCATTCTGGAGTTTTTTTTAAAAAGATTTTTGACTTTTTTAAGAGGTACCTGCCTGAATCAGTCTGATGAAACAGTCTTCACAGTGAAAAGTCAGCCTCAGGCTTGGCTGGTATTCCATCAAGAGGAGGTTTGGGTTTTAGTTGAGATTTGTCTGTTTCAGGCAGCATAAAATGTACTTTTAGATAATTTGTAATATAGCTGAGTTAAATATATAGTAAAATTACAAAATATTGTCTGATAATTGCTGAATGTAATTTCTTTCCCAGGGTATATTTTTCTTCTGCTGTTTAGTCAGTTACTAATGTAACACTTCTCAATCTTTGCATATTTGGCAATACAAAATAATTACAAACTCGGACAAATATCCCTGTATGTTCTGGAGGACTTTTTTTGTCTCACTTCACATTCATTTTTGGATGAAGGGAGAGATTCTATAAACAAGTCAACTGTTGTTTAGGCCAGCTTATAGATGCTACATTGTGTCTCTAAGTGAAACTTGATAATGTGTGGTGATGTCTTTCTGATTTTTTTCTTTTCTCTTTGCCCCTCTGTGAAAAGTGAAGTCCGGGAGTGTCTGAAACTGGACCAAGACCATAAGCAATGCTTCTCTCTCTATAAGCAAGTAAAGAAACTCAATAAGCAGATTGAGTCAGCAGAGGAATTCATCAGAGAAGGCAGGTGAGTGTTTGCTGCTGTATTAAAAAAACAAATATATAAAAAAATCACTACTGAGGCACCAGCTTCTTATTGATTGAGAAGTGATGCTTTTTGCATTTGTCAGTTGAAGTGGATAACTGAGCACAGCTCTGAAATTACAATTAAAATAAATATTGACTCACATAGTGACAATCCTGTTGCGATTCCTTCTGATGCCACTACTCTTTGCATACTTATTTGTGGAGCAGGTAGTAAGACCAAGATAGGGATAATATTTGTCAGGTCTCGTACACTCAGCACTGGTGAGGCCACACCTGGAGTGCTGGGCTCCCCAGTGCAAGAGAGATGAGGCTACTGAGAGAGAAAGTCTAGCGGAGTGCCAATAAGATGATGGAAGGACTGGAGCATCTCTCTCCTGTGAGGAAAGACTGAGATCACTGGAACTGTTCTCCCTGAGCTTTCTCTGCTACAGGGTGATCTCATCAATGTATATAAATACCTGAAGGGAGGGAGGATGCAGATTGGATGGAGCCAGGCTCCTTTCAGTGGTGCCCAGTGACAGATCCAGGGGCAGTGGGCACAAGCTGAAACAGGAAATTCTGTTTGAACATAAGGAAATGCTTCCCACCACCTCCTCGTTTCCACTGGCACAGGTTGCCCAGAGAGGTTGTGGAGTCTCCCCACTTTGGAGATACTCAGAATCCATCTGGACGTGGTCTTAGGCAACCTGCTTGAGCCTGGGGGGGTGGACCAGGTGACCTGCAGAAGTCCCTTCCACCCCCAGCTATTCTGTGATTAAAGGACCACGTCTTTAGACTAAAACCACCGAGTAACTCTGCAGTGCCTTGATAGTAAAAGTGCATCTGGCTGATGGGCTTCTTCTGTGTGCCCTGTTAAATGATAGACAATGCCTGTTTATTTTTCTACTTCTTGCTTTATTTCAGTTTTATGTTGTGATAGTTTCACTGGGCCAGCCCTTG